AGTATTTTGTGATCGACTGTATCAAAGGCTTTCTTCAAATCAATAAAAATTCCCAGAACATATTTTTTCTGATCAAGCGATGTGGATATGTCTTCAACCAATTCCATTAGAGCTTGTGCAGTAGATCTACCTGATCTGAAGCCATACTGACTGTCTAATAAAATGCCATTTTTTTCTACAAATTTTTCCAGCTTATCATTGTAAATCTTTTCCAATATCTTTGAAAACTGAGGTAACAAGGAGACCGGTCTGTAGTTTGTAAATTGATGCCTATTGCCAGACTTGTAAAGAGGAACCACCTTAGCCACCTTCATTTTATTTGGGAATATTCCTGTTTTAAATGATAAATTACATATATACGTGAGTGGTTCGACAATACAATCAATAGTTTGTTTAACTAAAAACATATCTATGTCATCTCCATCTAATGAAAATTTTGTTTTACATGCTCTGACAATTTTAAGAATATCCTTTTGAGTCACTTCTTCAAGTAATAATGAATCCGCCACACCGTCTCCGTCACCATAACCATTGGATTCAGAGTCCACATTACTATTTATCTTGTCAGCCAACTTTGGACCAACCCCAACAAAAAATTCATTGAAGTGTTCTACTGTCAACTGTCTATCATAAATATCTCTGTTATTACTGACAAAATAATCTGGATGGTTTAGACCGTCACAACGCTTCTTGATTATTGTATTTAACACGTTCCATATTCCTTTGATGTTACTTTTATTCCTTTCAATCAAATTACTGTAATAATTCCTTTTACACATCCTCATTATAGTAATTAATTTATTTTTATATGTTTTATATTTTTGCTCCGCTTCTTTAGTTCTGTGTGAGATAAATAGCTTATATAATGTGTTCTTTTTTTTACAAGCATTTTGGATCCCCTTTGTCATCCACGGCTTCTCTGAATATCGATTTCTACAACTATGTCTTATCATCGGACAATGCTTATCATATATACTTTTGTAAATATCCAGAAATAAGTTATACGCAATATTCACATCATGTTCACTATATATATTACTCCAGTTAACACTACGTAGTTCCGTTTTTAAATTTTGTAAATCTTCTTCCTTTCTTCTCCTTTTATACATTAAAGTTTTAGCTGGTTTTACTTTCTTTGGATGGCAGTCGTGGATAGCAAATACAGGGAGATGATCTGTTAGGTCTGTTATCAATAGTCCACTATGTATAATACTTTCTACATTATTAGTAAATATATTATCAATAAGAGTGGCACTATCAGCAGTTATTCTACTTGGTTTCGCAATGAGGGGAACCATGCTCATACTGTACATTAACTCAAGAAATTCATCAGTTTTCTTATGTGCTGTAGCTTTCAGTAGATCTATATTAAAGTCTCCACACACATATGTTATCTTACTTTTGTTTAACATTAAAATACTTTCCATTGTAACAATAAATGTGTCAATGTCACTTCCTGGTTTCCTGTATACACAATGAATCACTATGTTTTTTGTTTGCTTAATACTCACTTCAATGGATATACATTCCATAACTTCATCAATAACCATAGACAAGTTTTCAGTAAATTTATATGAAAGGGACTGATCAATGAAAAACGCAACCCCTCCACCCTTTCCATTCCTATTGATACAATGAAAATTGTAACCTTGCAAGAAAAAATCCTCACCGTGCTCTGAATCTATCCATGTTTCTGATATTGCAATGATGTTAAACGGCCTCACAAGGTAAGTTAACATTAGCATTTTAGCTTAAATGCATGACGTGAGGACTTTTGGTTGAGGGAGAATGCAACGAGTCACTATAGACTGCAGGCGCAGCGTCCTCTGGCAGCATTTAAACCGTGTCACGGACACCCTGTTGCTGGATGAAGCATCTCATTTGTTGATGATGAAGAGAAATATACAATTAGTTCCTTGTCATTGATTTGTTTACTTATTCAATGCCATTTATACTTGAACATTTGGATTTGATTACATAGTGTAGTAGTTATTTTAGTAATTTGTTTAAAGTGGCTATTTATTTTAAATACATATATTTTTTAAGGTTGACTTGTACAGTGCTCAAGTCAAGTGTGGACTGGAGTTTTAGATTTTCATTTTGATAATGAAGAAAACAAGTATATGAGAAAACAAGTGGTGTTTCTTTGATTTGTTTACATATTGTTTATGTTTTGAATGTTTGGATTTGTATAATTGAAACCTGCACTGACTACTGTAACATGTTCCAGAAAACGAAGCTATTTGTTCCTTTACTTGTGAAAAGTTGCACTTTTGCTAAGGCTTTGTGTTATTTTAAGTTTAATAAACACTGTTAAACCTTTTCAAAACTATTTCAGTTTGTGTAGAACAGGACTATCAATGCTTTCTGAACATATGCAACACCGTTTAAAAAATACCGCGATAATACCGAAAACCGTGATAATTTTGGTCACAATAACCGTGAGGTTAAATTTTCATACCGTGACAACCCTAATTCACACCCCATCCCGTTCTCTCAGATCTTCTTCTTCCATCCATCTTGCGGTTCCTTCTGCCCGTCTCGCTACCATGGGGAGCAGAGCTTTCAGCCGCTCTGCTCCTCGACTCTGGAACTCACTTCCCACCAACATCAGGAACATCGACAGTTTTATCCTTTTCAAAACAAAACTCAAAACACACATGTTTAAATCTGCCTACAACCTCTGATTTTATTGAACTGTTTCTCTCTTTGTTTTTTCTTCTTTGGGTCTTATTATTGTTTTATGGTATTTTATTACGTGTTTTGTGTAAAGTGACCTTGGGTGTCCTGAAAGGCGCTTTTAAATAAAATATATTATTATTATTATAAAAATCATTAGGGCTGTACTTAAAAGAGGGCAACGGTGGAACAGGAGTTAAGTTCTCTCCCCGTATTCGAAAGGTTGCAGGTTCTATCCCCACTCAGCCTGTCACTGTCGTTGTTTCCTTGGGCCAGACACTTAACCCACTTTGCCTACTGGTGGTGGTTGGAGGGACCAGCAGTGCCGGTGTACGGCAGACTCGCCTCTGTCAGTGCACCCTAGGGCAGCTGTGGCTACAGTGTAGTTTGTCACCACCAGGGTGTGAATGTTTGTCTGAATGAGTGATTGTATTGTAATGCACCTTGGAGGGTTCCAGGACTCTAGAAGGCGCTATATCAAATACAGGCCATTTACCATAAAAGAGGCGGGGGTGTACTTTTTTTTAAATTTATTTAACCAGATCAGTCGATTGAGAACTCATTATCATTTACAACAATGCCAAGAGGCAGCAGCAACAGACACATAGTTAGCTTTACCTCAAAGAAAAACAGATAAAATAAATAAGATAAAACAGATAGACATAAAGACAAAGTACAATTCTCATTTACAATATGTACAAGCAATCAAAACAGACATTAAACAATCTTTAAGTACTCAGAAGCAGGCACATTAATTAGAAACTATTGGTTGCAATTAATTATTGAATGATGCTTCTCCTGCTCTTTGAAGCAGAACCTCAGGAAACTGTAGCAAAACTTTTATGGCTACCAGAAAACCCAACACACGCTTGTGGGGATGAGCTACAATGAAGCCACAGCTGCCCCGGGGCGCACTGACGAAAGCGAAACTGCTGAACACGGGCGCCACCGGTCCCTCCGACCACCACTAGCAGGCAAGACAGGTTGAGTGTCTTGCCCAAGGACACATCAGCAGCATTCTCTGGCTGGAACCAGGATCAAACCTACAACCTTCCGATTACTGGTGTAACGGTATGAAATGACTGTTTCCCCCTCTCCTCTGACACAGTACTAGTCTGCATGAGATATGGCCTCAAGGTCTCATGCATTTGCTTCTAGCCTGCTTCTTTCCAGCTCAAGAGAAGAATGAAGAATGGACTCTCTCCTTTTAATTAATCAAAGAACTCTATTTTAATAAAGCTAATCAAACAAAGTGTTAGTCAGTAAATAAGATGTGACCAATCTGTGAAATCAAAATATTAATTACTTTATTATAATCCTATGGAATATAAAAGTAATATGACTTTAAATGTTCCAATATGACTGATCTCACGTAGCGTTAAAAGATGCTTTCACTGATCCAATCAGAATCTGCCAGATCTGACGGAGGCGTGGTTTTGGTGGTGTTTGGTAAATCTGTCAACTTTTCATTCGACCATAAACCAAAACATCCGAAGTATAAAACTATGTCCACGTCATCTTTAACGCCAGTTCAAAGCGTTCTAGAGAAGTGTCGGAGTGGCCAATCCGTAACTTTCCTCTTCAGCCAAAAAAACCGACGACAAGCTGGATAAAATCTGTTGCTGTCCCAACTGCTGCAACGGTTCCTTTCAGAATAAAAGCTGAACCATCAAGACCCAGGCTCGGGTCTCACCAGATGCCAACAAAATTGTCGTGACCCGGGAGTATCTCAAGACTGGTGGTCGGCTGCCGTGGCAGCTTCTACAGGCTCCGGCTCCATAAAGATCAAGCTGGACCTCGACATTCCTGATCTAGACGGGGACTTCCGCTCAGGGTATGTAGACCGACAAATGGCGTCAAATGTGTTTATTAATCTCCTAATCAAAGCTTAGCGCGAAGACATCACCTTCAGTTCCCATCGGAACTAATCGCTTCTTCGGATTTGCTGGTTCTGAGCAACATTCCACATCACCCCATTCACCGTCTCATTCACCTTAGTTACACCACACATTTAGAGTTTAAAGTTAGTCTAGTTTAATCTGTTCAGTAATACATTTTTTAACTTTTAAACTCGACTTTCTCTTCTGTTGTCTCTGAGTGAACACGAAGCTGTTATCTAATCCCTGCAATAAAAAGTTCCTGTCTTCTGGTTAAAATAACCTCACAGATCCATAAGATTGATTTCATATTTCCTATGGAATCCTACGCCTTATGGCTCATTAAACAACATGTAATTTAAATCATTACACTGGACAAGCTACTGCCGCCCTGCTACTGTTTTCATGATGATATTAAATATGACACAAAGACTACATTAAGGCTTCCGTTTGGATCTTACATCTTTATTGTAGCGAAGTGTTTTTATGGCACTGGCATGACATTTCTGACCATGTTAATTTCCCACAGTTTTAGCAGAGGTAGACGTTTTGGAGATGAAAGAGATTGTTTCAGTTAGTATCTCTACTGCTTTTTCATGTTTTAAGATCTTATCCAGTTGGTCTAAGGCATCGGAGTTAAAAGCACTGGAAAGATCAAGACTCTTGATTTCTGTAGAGACAGTTGGATCAGGACAAAAACCTGAAATACAAACACAAACATTTTTGATGTAATCACTTATTTGTTTGTACATCTACATCATAAATTGCTTTGTACAAAAAACAACATATGTACTCTTTTACAGCAGTGCAGCCAGACTGAAGGTTCGTACCTTTCTCTGAATCCAGTATGGCTGGCTCTGGTAGCTTCAAACACTCTACCTGCTTTTTAAACTCTTCCAGCTCTGGAGCAGAAATCTCGGTCCTCCGGCCTGAAAAACAAACGTCAAACTGGTAAATTCTGCATTTTGGGGATTAACACTGCCAGGCAGGGTGATTACTGTATAATGAAAGTTGGGTGAGGGGGTTGATTTTTTTCTCCACACATAGATTTGCATGAAGAGCATTCCACTGTTGGTTAACGAATGTGACATTTTTTCCATCTTGTATGTTGGTACTTTGGTATTTCAGCAGGACTAGAAAATAAAGTCCCCTTATGAAGAAAAATGTAAATGGACTCAATGTTCCCTCACTCAGACGCGGATCACCAGGGCCCCCTTCTGGTCCATCATCTGACGCCTCAGGAGGGAAAAGCAGTGGGCTACGAGCACTGTTTACAGATGCTAGTTATAAAATCAGAAAACCATGACAAAATGTATTTATTTAAGTAATTCCATTCAATAAAATCTGCATCTCCATAAAGTTGGTCAGCAGCAGGAAGTGCTCTAGAAAATTCCTGGTAGATGGCTGCATTGAGCATAGACCTCAGAAAACACAATGGACCAACACCAGCTGATGACATGGCACCCCAAACCATTACTGACTGTGGAAACTACACTGGAGCTCAAGCAACGTGGATTCTGTACCTCTCATCTCTTCCTCCAGACTCTGGGACCTTGATTTCCAAAAGAAATAAAAAATTTGCTTTCATCAAAGAACCTAACTTTGGACCACTCAGCAGCAGACCAGTCCTTTTTGTCTTTAGCCCCGGCGAGATGCTTCTGAGTCAGAAGTTCTGGTGTTGACTCTTGTTCAAGACTGGCTTGACACAAGGAATGCAACAGCTGAAACCATGTATTGCATATGTCTGTACGCAGTGGTTCATGAAGCTCTGACTCCAGCTGCAGTCCACTTTTTGCGACCCCCCCCCCCCCCTCCAACCCACCCCAATTTTTTTGAATGACCTGTTGTGTCTTGTCCTCCGTATTTAAGGTGTTAACGGTCGTCTTTTGGACAATTGTCAGGTCAGCAGTCTTCCCCATGATTGTGTAGGCTACAGAACTAGACTGAGAGACCATTTAAGAAGAAAGAAGAAGAGGAAAGCATAATTTCTAAAGCGCCTCTCAAGATAAAAATCACGAGGCGCTTCACAAAAGCAAAATATGTAAAAATATAAAAAAGCATTTAGAAAATGTTTTAAAATATATTTAAAATGAGCAAAAATAGACAATTGTAATTAAAAAATGTTAAGAAAGAGAGAGAGTGAACAGGAAAGAGGGAAATCAGTGGATCCTGAGGAAGGTGGAATAGGTGGGGAGAGCAGAATAATGAGAGAATGGTGAAGAAGGTCATACAAAAGCCAGCTTGAACAAGTGAGTCTTCAGCTGCTTTTTGAAGGAGACCACTGAGTCCACTGATCTCAGGCTCAGGGGGAGAGAGGTCTAGAGTCTGGGGGCCACAGCAGCAAATGATCTGTCACCTTTGGTCTTTATCCTGGTGTGGTAAGCAGGTGTGTAACAGCTGCAGCTTAGACATCTCATGGGGCTTAAAGGAGATGTACAGTTGGATTTAAAAGCTTTTGCAAGTGTTTTGAGGCAATTAGTTGATTAGAGCGTGGCACCAGGAGTCTTCAATACTGAACCTTTTCACAATAATCAAATATTCTGAGATACTGAGTTTGGGATTTTCAAGAGTTGTCAGTTATAATCATCAAAATTAAAAGAAATAAACATTTGAAATAAATCAATCTGTGTGTAATGGATTAATCTAATATAGAAGTTTTACGTTTTGAATGGAATTACTGAAATAAATCAACTTTGTCATTGTATTCTAATTTTATGACCAGCACCTGTGTAGTGGTAGTGTGCTGCTGACCTCTACTCATGACGTTGTGGATCAGTAGGCGGAGTACCTTGAAGACCTCCTCATTCCCTCATATTTTATGTAGCACCTCTCAAGATAAAAATCACCAGGCACTTCGCAAAAACAAAAAAAGAATTAAAATATAAAAAAGATTTCTAAAGATGATTAAAAATATGTTTAAAATGATAAATAAATAACAATTGTTTTTAAAATGTAAGGAAAGAGAGAGAGAAAATGAATAGGAAAGAGGGAAATCAGTGAATCCTGGGAAAGGCAGAATAAGAACAGAATAAAGAGAGAGTGGTGACAAAGAACATATAAAAGCCATCTTGAACAGGTGAGTTTTCAGCTGCTTTTTAAAGGAGACCTCTGAGTCCACTGATCTCAGGCTCAGGGGGAGAGAGTTCCAGAGTCTGGGGGCCACAGCAGCAGATGATCTGTCACCTTTGGTTTTTAGCCTGGTGCTGCACAACCAGTAGGCTTTGGTCACTGGACCTCAGGGGGCTGCTGGGGGTGTAGGGACTAAGAAGATCACCAATGTATGATGGTGCTTGTCCATGTAAGGCCCTATAGACCAGAACCAGGATCTTGAAATGAACCCTGAAGTTGACTGGCAGCCAGTGAAGCTGTAAGAGAAGCGGAGTGATGTGGGTGTGTTTTCTGAACCACCTGTAGACGGTTCAGGGAGGTTCTGCTCAGACAAGTGAAAAGCAAGTTGCAGTAGTCTAAGCATGATGAAGGTGTGGAGAACTGTCTCAAGTTCAGAGAGGGACAGAATGGGACTCAGCTTAGCAATGTTCCTGAGATGGAAGAAGGAAGAGCAAAACAAGAGAACTGACATGAGAATCCAGGGTGAGAGCTGGGTCAAAGGTCATGCCAAGATTCCTGACAGAGGGTTTGGCATGAGAAGCAAGCTGACCAAGAAAGTCTTTGACTTTGGGAACCAGCTTGTCTGGGGCACAGATGAGGATGTCAGCTTTATATTCATTTAGCTGTAGAATGTTTACAATGATCCAGGTTTTGATAAGAGTCTAAGCAGGTGTGTAACAGCTGCAGCTCCGACATCTCATGGGGCTTGAAGGAGATGTACAGTTGGATGTCATCTGCGTCAAGATGGTAGGAGATATCTTTAAAGGAGCTCAGGATGTGCTGAAGAGGAAGCAGATAGAGGAGGAAGAGTAGAGGCCCCAGCACAGAACCTTGTGGGACACCATGGGTGAGGGAGGTGGTGGAGGACCAAAACTTGGAGACGGCAACAGAGATGGAACGCTCAGACTAATATGAGGAGAAGGTCATTAGAGACCCCAAGAAGAGCTGTTTCAGTGGAATGAGCTCTACAAAAACCTGACTCGAAACTATCCTAGATGTTATGTTCAACAAGAGCAGCTGTGAGTTGTTTAGCCACAACCTTTTCCAAGATCTTGGAGATGAACGGAAGTTTAGAGATGGGTCTGAAGCTGCTATGGAGAGCGGGGTCAAGGCTGAAGAAATTATTCATAAAAATCTGTGTTTTATTTTAGCTATAATGTTTAAGTGTGACATTTTATTTAGCAAACATATTAAGTAACATAATATTCACATCATTAACTGAAATTGATCTTTCTTGATGTTTGTTTTGCTTTTCTTACTCATAAGCTGCATGCCTTTGTATTGGCTGCTTCCAATGGTGTAGTTTGAATAAACCACCAGGCAGTCAAGACAGCCAGTATTCAGCAGGAATGCAGAGGAGGGATAGGGATTTACTGAGAACACCGAAAAACACACAAAACATTTCAATTAAAAGCAGCAGCAACACTTTACCTGAGCCAATCTGTTAATTCTAGTAAACGATCACTACTGTTGGAACAACTCACCCATGACCAGGGTGTTGTTCTCCACTGATACGGTATAGGTTAGACTGAAGCAAGAGCCAAACCTAAAATGTGAGGGAAAAACACAAAATAGGTTTATTTTACAGCATCAAGTTACCAAGGCTTGATGCTTCAGTCCAGATTTGAAATTACATTTTTTGATTCTGAAAACTGATGAGATCATTGTCCTTGTTTCCAGCTGTGATGTTCCACCAGCTAGACTGCAGAACTGATTGTGTCAGCAACTTGGATCCGATGATGTTTGTGCTCTCTCCTATGTAATACCATGTTCCAAGGAACTGTAACAGATCACATGGTCATCAGCTGTACAAAGTAAATAAAGGGATTCATTTGAAAGCAAAAACTTCATAACGATCTGTTGAACCCATGTGACTAAAGTTCATCTTACTTGATCTCTTCCTTGGATTGAATTTTGTTGCAGAAGATTGTCACAGCTGGTCACAGGAGCTGACTGTCCAAGGGAAAGAAGACTGAACACAGCGACAGCTACTTGAGCAAACTCCGTCATGGCTGGATGGATAGTTGAGTCTGTCCAGGCCTCCAGTGGTGCTTTTAACTAACAGTGATCAAGCACTGATGTACAGACAGCTGTTTGCTTTAGTGTTGTAACTCTATCAGAGATAAGAAAACATTGATTTTACGACAAATATTAGTTTGGGACCCTCCTTGCTTTTCTACGGCTCGAAGATACGGAAAGGTCTCCTCACTTCAGGTGGAAATTGTTTTCTAAATGTTAAGAAAAAATTCTTAGGAAATTCAAGATTTTGGATCACAGGGACAATTTTCACCAAGATATTTCATCTGAATCCATCAGTTCTTTAATCATTTCAGGCCTATTCGTGATCATATAAGGATTGCTTATACAACTTACACTGGACTTTCAGTCCAACCTCTTCTCCAGTTGCAACTTTAAAGGGGCATTATGGAAGTTTGACAGCCAAAACATGTATAGAAATAATAAATGTCTTCTTCATACATTCTCCTGCAATGCCCTGGTCCTGTAGAATGAGCCCTGGCATTTTTACTGTGATTGCCTGTTTTTCTGTAAAATCACAGAAAAAGAGAGATGCTCGGGTCGCTCAGGCATAGCCCGTAGCATTTGCTATCCGTAGCTTTAGCAGCAGAGAGTGAGGTAGTGCCTACTCAGCGACTTTGTCGCTGTTCCTAACGCCTAGTGATGAACCTAGCTACATTTCTGAGGACCCTTAGCTACTTTCCTCTAGATATTTCCTGCAAATTAGCAACAAAATAGCCATTTTCACTCCGAACCGTTCTTTGAACGTTGTTTCAGCTGTCATCAAGAATATAAATAATACAGATACAGAAGACATCATTGGCACTTTCGCTCGCGTAGTAAGACATCGGACTCTCGTGCAGAAGACCCAGGTTCGATTCTGGTTGTGAACATAGTTCATTTAGAGTTTCTTTTTTACATTAATGGTATATTTTTTTACAGTAAGATGCCCAAATTTTTATTTGAGACTCGCCGAACGGCATTGAATTCACAGATAAAAAAAGATGTGGGTTCAACTTTCATTTTGGAACAATTTTTCAAGCAAGGGAAGAGAATGATCTGAGCATGCAGGAGGACTGACCCATCATCAACCTTTGTCGGCTGTGCTGAAGAGAAAGGTACAGAACCAAATTATTTAATTAATTAGCTGCGCGTTCTCCTGTCCTCTGGGCCACACACACACACACACACACACACACACACACAAAGAGACTGTCTCAGCTGTTATTTTCGTTAAGGAGTGTGCACTCACAGCATGCGCGCCTCGTGCACGAGCCTACTATTGAAGCTGCCATTACACTTTTGGCCTGAGGGGACAATCGCGAGCATAAAAATTAAAAACTCCGTAAAATCCCTTTAACTCAAAGGAATGGTGATCTTGAACATAAGAGACAACATATCAATGGAAAATTTTGAAAACCTAGCACTCTCCTAAAGACATATCCTTGCATTTTCTTGGCATTACTCTATACCCACGTACGCATGATTTTTTTTTTTGTTTTGTTTTTGTATTATTCCACAGAAGAAAAGGGATGAAATATTGTTTTGTAAAATATCTTTTCTGGAGTCCCTCAGGGAACCAAATTTAGAATAATAATTTTTAATCTAGAAAATGTTGCAACAACAGCACCAATAATAATAATTGGTTTACAAGATAAACCCTGTTTGTTTTGTTAGTTGTTAAATTGTATATCACTCTCCCCAAAAACTGAACGTTTGTCCCATTAACAAACTCTGACCAAGACGAGTAAATAATTTACAGTAGCACTGTAAAAACTAATGTTTCTTGGAACTTTCTTTTTGTTGATTAAAGGAGAGTAGATTGTTTTCTTGTCATTTTTGCATAAAATGCGTTATATCATTTAAGACTCTTAAGTAAAGAACATGACTACAAAGCAGAACTATGTTTTGAACATTTTACTAATAGTGCTATTGAAAGGCTAATTTCTAGCTAAGACTGAGAAAAGTCATTAAAAACTACATAAATAAAAATAATAAAAACATGTGAAACAGAAATAAAAATGCTGGTACCGGTGTGTAGCCATATTTGCATTGAGGTCGTGGTACTTTCGTTTCCACATTGCAATGTTTATATATCTTTCACTCTTGCTCACTGCCTACGGTAACACTTTACAATAAGGATCCCTTTATTAATGTTACTTAGTGCATTATTAAGCATGAATAAACAAAGGGGTGC